GTAAGACAGACAGACAGACAGACAGTAAGACAGACAGATAATAAGACAGACAGACAGATAGTAAGACAGACAGGCAGATAATAAGACAGATAGATAGTAAGACAGACAGGTAGATAGAAAGACAGACAGATAGTAAGACAGACAGACAGATAGAAAGACAGACAGATAGTAAGACAGACAGACAGACAGTAAGACAGACAGACAGATAGTAAGACAGACAGTTAGAAAGACAGACAGATAGAAAGACAGATAGATAGTAAGACAGACAGGCAGATAGTAAGACAGATAGATAGTAAGACAGACAGGTAGATAGAAAGACAGATAGATAGTAAGACAGACAGGCAGATAGTAAGACAGACAGATAGTAAGACAGACAGGTAGATAGAAGACAGATAGATAGACAGACAGGTAGATAGAAAGACAGACAGATAGTAAGACAGACAGACAGATAGAAAGACAGACAGATAGTAAGACAGACAGACAGATAGTAAGACAGACAGACAGATAGTAAGACAGACAGTTAGAAAGACAGACAGATAGAAAGACAGATAGATAGTAAGACAGACAGGTAGATAGAAAGACAGATAGATAGTAAGACAGACAGGCAGATAGTAAGACAGATAGATAGTAAGACAGACAGCAGATAATAAGACAGATAGATAGTAAGACAGACAGACAGATAGAAAGACAGACAGATAGTAAGACAGACAGACAGACAGTAAGACAGACAGACAGATAGTAAGACAGACAGTTAGAAAGACAGACAGATAGAAAGACAGATAGATAGTAAGACAGACAGGCAGATAGTAAGACAGATAGATAGTAAGACAGACAGGTAGATAGAAAGACAGACAGATAGTAAGACAGACAGACAGATAGTAAGACAGACAGATAGAAAGACAGACAGACAGACAGTAAGACAGACAGTTAGAAAGACAGACAGATAGTAAGACAGACAGACAGACAGACAGTAAGACAGACAGGTAGATAGAAAGACAGATAGATAGTAAGACAGACAGGTAGATAGAAAGACAGACAGATAGTAAGACAGACAGACAGATAGAAAGACAGACAGATAGTAAGACAGACAGACAGACAGTTAGACAGACAGACAGATAGTAAGACAGACAGTTAGAAAGACAGACAGATAGAAAGACAGATAGATAGTAAGACAGACAGGTAGATAGAAAGACAGATAGATAGTAAGACAGACAGGCAGATAGTAAGACAGATAGATAGTAAGACAGACAGGCAGATAATAAGACAGATAGATAGTAAGACAGACAGACAGATAGAAAGACAGACAGATAGTAAGACAGACAGACAGACAGTAAGACAGACAGTTAGAAAGACAGACAGATAGTAAGACAGACAGACAGACAGACAGTAAGACAGACAGATAATAAGACAGACAGACAGATAGTAAGACAGACAGGCAGATAATAAGACAGATAGATAGTAAGACAGACAGGTAGATAGAAAGACAGACAGATAGTAAGACAGACAGACAGACAGTAAGACAGACAGTTAGAAAGACAGACAGATAGTAAGACAGACAGACAGACAGACAGTAAGACAGACAGATAATAAGACAGACAGACAGACAGACAGTAAGACAGACAGGTAGATAGAAAGACAGATAGATAGTAAGACAGACAGGTAGATAGAAAGACAGACAGATAGTAAGACAGACAGACAGATAGTAAGACAGACAGATAGAAAGACAGACAGACAGACAGTAAGACAGACAGTTAGAAAGACAGACAGATAGTAAGACAGACAGACAGACAGACAGACAGTAAGACAGACAGGTAGATAGAAAGACAGATAGATAGTAAGACAGACAGGTAGATAGAAAGACAGACAGATAGTAAGACAGACAGACAGATAGAAAGACAGACAGATAGTAAGACAGACAGACAGACAGTAAGACAGACAGTTAGAAAGACAGACAGATAGTAAGACAGACAGACAGACAGACAGACAGTAAGACAGATAGATAATAAGACAGACAGACAGACAGTAAGACAGACAGGCAGATAATAAGACAGACAGATAGTAAGACAGACAGGTAGATAGAAAGACAGACAGATAGTAAGACAGACAGACAGATAGAAAGACAGACAGATAGTAAGACAGACAGGTAGATAGAAAGACAGACAGATAGTAAGACAGACAGACAGATAGAAAGACAGACAGATAGTAAGACAGACAGACAGGCAGTAAGACAGACAGACAGATAGTAAGACAGACAGTTAGAAAGACAGACAGATAGAAAGACAGATAGATAGTAAGACAGACAGGCAGATAGTAAGACAGATAGATAGTAAGACAGACAGGTAGATAGAAAGACAGATAGATAGTAAGACAGACAGGCAGATAGTAAGACAGATAGATAGTAAGACAGACAGGTAGATAGAAAGACAGATAGATAGTAAGACAGACAGGTAGATAGAAAGACAGACAGATAGTAAGACAGACAGACAGATAGAAAGACAGATAGATAGTAAGACAGACAGGTAGATAGAAAGACAGATAGATAGTAAGACAGACAGACAGATAGATAGTAAGACAGACAGGTAGATAGATAGTAAGACAGACAGGTAGATAGAAAGACAGACAGGCAGATAGTAAGACAGATAGATAGTAAGACAGACAGACATAGAAAGACAGATAGATAGTAAGACAGACAGGCAGATAGTAAGACAGATAGATAGTAAGACAGACAGGCAGATAGTAAGACAGATAGATAGTAAGACAGACAGGTAGATAGAAAGACAGACAGATAGTAAGACAGACAGACAGATAGAAAGACTGACAGATAGAAAGACAGATAGATAGTAAGACAGACAGGTAGATAGAAAGACAGACAGATAGTAAGACAGACAGGCAGATAGAAAGACAGATAGATAGTAAGACAGACAGGTAGATAGAAAGACAGATAGATAGTAAGACAGACAGGTAGATAGAAAGACAGACAGATAGTAAGACAGACAGACAGATAGAAAGACAGACAGATAGTAAGACAGACAGTTAGAAAGACAGACAGATAGTAAGACAGACAGACAGACAGATAGATAGTAAGACAGACAGATAGTAAGACAGATAGATAGTAAGACAGACAGGTAGATAGAAAGACAGATAGATAGTAAGACAGACAGACAGATAGATAGTAAGACAGACAGGTAGATAGATAGTAAGACAGACAGGTAGATAGAAAGACAGACAGGCAGATAGTAAGACAGATAGATAGTAAGACAGACAGACATAGAAAGACAGATAGATAGTAAGACAGACAGGCAGATAGTAAGACAGATAGATAGTAAGACAGACAGGCAGATAGTAAGACAGACAGGTAGATAGTAAGACAGACAGGTAGATAGAAAGACAGACAGATAGTAAGACAGACAGACAGATAGAAAGACTGACAGATAGAAAGACAGATAGATAGTAAGACAGACAGGTAGATAGAAAGACAGACAGATAGTAAGACAGACAGATAGATAGAAAGACAGATAGATAGTAAGACAGACAGGTAGATAGAAAGACAGATAGATAGAAAGACAGATAGATAGTAAGACAGACAGCTAGATAGAAAGACAGATAGATAGTAAGACAGACAGGTAGATAGAAAGACAGACAGATAGTAAGACAGACAGGTAGACAGAAAGACAGACAGATAGTAAGACAGACAGACAGATAGAAAGACAGACAGATAGAAAGACAGATAGATAGTAAGACAGACAGGTAGATAGAAAGACAGACAGATAGTAAGACAGACAGTTAGAAAGACAGACAGACAGATAATAAGACAACGCTCCAAGGCCTAAAATCCTCCTTTAGTTGTTTGTTGCTTCCTTGGGTCCCTCGAGCGACGCTATAAAAAATATATTCTTATAACTACTAAGTGAAGACGTTTCTGACTCTGATCTGCACCAGTGGGATGTTCACTCCTCCTCTGACTTCTTTCTTTGAGTTTAAACCGGTAAATTGATCCTCTGAGAACTATATCAGCAGACTGAAGCACAAACCTGAGAGACTTCCAGCACCTTCCAGTTCAGCTTTCAGTGAGTCTCAACACAGGCCGTTACTACGACCCTCATTACTGTTTGTTGTGGCAGCGCCCTCTAGCGGCGGGAGGAAGTCGGGTGACGTATAATAAATAGGCATAAATAGGTGGATGACCGACCTCTTTCATTGTTTAGGTTGGAGTACGGGGTCTTTGTTGTTTTGTTGTTGTTGTGAGAAACAGATGACCTGTAAGCAGCAGAGTGGCCACGTCCTGACGTTCAGTTTATAAACTCTGGATCCTACATTTCCCATAATGCACCTGGATAGTGTCTTTCATTAAACCTTCTCTGTCAAACAGCCACGTCTTTCACACAGGCTGGGGCGGCACAGAACCAGAACCAGAACCAGGACCTGTAGCAATTAAAATCAGTGGACGGTCCCTTTAAAAACTTACCTGCAGCAGGTGAGCTCGATGTCACCATGGAAACCAGCGTGCCGGCAACCAGCAGCATCACACCGAGTGTGCGTCTGCACGCTGACGTTCTGGAGTCCATCCCGGTCCTGGTCCTGAAGCTGGGGTCAGGCGGGATCAGAGCGTCCATCGTCCTCAAAGGGCCGCCGGTCTGATCCCGGTACAGAGAGGCGAGGGCCCATCAGGAGGACCTGAACCGCATGAGAAGATTATTAAATGTCCAGCTGCAAAGCCATATTTCATTTAATTAGGGACGAGCAAGACCAGGACCAGAGAGACCAGTGAGACCAGGACCAGAGAGACCAGGACCAGTGAGACCAAGACCAGAGAGACCAGGACCAGTGAGACCAGTGAGACCAGTGAGACCAGTGAGACCAAGACCAGAGAGACCAAGACCAGAGAGACCAGGACCAGTGAGACCTGTGAGACCAGTGAGACCAGTGAGACCAAGACCAGAGAGACCAGGACTAGAGAGACCAGGACCAGTGAGACCAGTGAGACCAGTGAGACCAAGACCAGAGAGACTAGGACTAGAGAGACCAGGACCAGTGAGACCAGTGAGACCAGTGAGACCAGTGAGACCAGGCCCACGGAGGTCGTGTTCTTGGTCACACAGTACAGATCCTTTATTGTTCTCTGATGTTGTTTATTCTTTTGTATTTCTACCTTCTCTTTATCGTAGCAAAGCAGATTCACCAAGTTTGTACAACTACTAACACGGGGAGGTTTCAAATACATGTAGTACTGTAGAGGTAGAATGTAACACTGTGAAATACTCAAATAAAGTACCTCAAAATTTTACTTAAGAACAGAGGAAAAGTACTTTCCACCAGTGGAGCTTCTGTCCTGATCTAATGCTTCAGCTCTAATGATCTTATTATAATAAAACATATCAAATACATAAATAACAAATATGTGATAATTACTAGCTACTAAATATCAAATAAATAATAATAAGAAATAGACTAAGTGTTTCTTCGTTTGGACCGGGAGGATCCAGGATCAGGATCAATAACTGAGTACCTGCCCCAACCCCCCCAGACCCTCCAGACCCCAGAACCAGAGGCCCCTGACAGCTCAGAGCTGAAACAAACAGTCAACCAACAAATACAGGATCTGTGCCTCAGTAAACTGGATCTGTGGGGGCCGAACAAAACCGGACCTTAGAGGTCCAACAGTTCTGAATAATCAGAAAACGAATGCAGAATAATAAAATAATTAAACACTCGTTAATATTTCCTCTGGCGCCAGCTCAGTCCTGCCTCTCTGCCCAGGCCCTGGTCTGGCTGGTTCCGGCCCTGCTCAGCTAACTGTGTTTCCAGGCCGATCGCACCTCTGCTGTCCTGGCTCGGCTCAGCACGGCTCGGTTCTGCTCTCACACTGACCCCATTACCGGACAGATAACCCGCCTACACTCCGGGCCTGTCTCACATGTCTCCGTGTGTCCTCCGCGGAGACACCGGGCAGGACGGCGGCTCTCATCCCGGTCACAGCTGCAGAGCATCCGTGCCCTAATTACCCGGTCCGGCCCAGTCCGGCCCGGCCCGGCGCCGGTTTAACGCGCTAACATCCGTCACTGTGAACCCTATAATAAACCGAGTCTGGTTCTGCGGAGCCGGGCCGCCTCCCCCTCGTACAGCTGGAGCCTCCATGCCGCTAAAACCGACACCGAGCCCCGGCGAAGCGGATCAGACCTGCAGCTGCCCCCCACTGAAAAACAGGCTATACGCTGAGAGGGATCCGAGCCGAGCCGAGCCGAGCTATCGTTCCAGGATGCGTTTTGTCCCCAGTCAGAGAGGAGACCTACCTGCCATCCTGGAGATGCGCTGCGGCCGCGTCACGCCTCTCCCGCAGCCGCGCGGGGAAGGAGGAGGCGGAGAGTCCCTGCGGAATCAGACCTTCCTCCTCGCTGTCCGCAGTCTTCTTCACCTCCTCATCTCTTCAATAAAAGAAGGAGCCTCGGTGATCTGGACCCGTCCGCGCTGCTCCCGGGCCCGTCAGATTCAGGGCACGTCCGATCTCGGTACCAGTCTAACCCGGCTCCGCCTGCTGCTGCGGGCGTCACTTGATCCACATCTACAATTCAAACGACATCTCTTTGCCTTTCTGCTCACACACAGAGACGTTTCATCAGAGCTGAGCTCGGATCAGTCCGGCAGGACCAGCACTGACCCTGAACCTGGACTTCAGCTGAAAGCTCCGGTCCAGCTGTTAGTCTGCAGAGACTCAAACATGAAGCAGTCCGTGTGGAAATCAGTCCTTTTAATTCAAAATCAATATCTGTAGGAAACACAAATCATTAATAACTAACAATCAATGCAGAACAGTAATCTACGGCGTCCCAGAGGGGATTCTTCAGGTCACAACTGTGTCCTGGTGCTGGTTTTACAGAATGAACTGGTCTGCTATGCCTCTAGCGCCCCCTGAGGTGCACACAGGTATGAACAGGTGGCTGTAAAGGCCTCGGTGTGCTTCAAAGGAACTTCCTGTCAGATGTTCCTCTTTCTTAAGTTCTAACAACCCCGCCCACTTAGCTGCACGCACTTAGCATATTAGCATATTAGCATTATGCTCAGATTAGCATATAGTGTTCAGCAATGCAACTGAGCATGGCGACGCTAACATGATGTTTTTCTTGGTTGTCAACAGCAGAATGTGTGAGCCATCCTGACAAAGGTCGCCACCCGTCCCTCAAAATACGGAATCGTCCCGTATTTACGAGTTGTCTTTAACGCAGCATCCTGTGAAGACTTGTCCTTTTCTGCCTGTGATTGGCTGCCATTGTTGGCTTGATTAATACCGTCAGGTTCAGGGCCAATCAGAGTCAGGGAACCAAACGAAACCGGATTCAAAAAGTACCAACGACGACGAGAGTGGGAGAACTCAAACGTCCTTCTTCATGAGTATCAGGCCGAACGTCACAGTTTGTGGTCCAGCGTTGTGAGTGGAGCACGGCGGCCTGTCAGACTGCGATGGCACGCAGCGACAATGTAAATGAATCACATGCCCACATTATAGATGAAGATGTGTTTTTGTGTCTGAGGCATACAGTCAGACACATCAGCATGAAGAGATAAGAGAGAGATTTAATTATCCAAATATAGAGCCTATGTGAAGAATATAAACAACTGCATGTAGAATCGCCTGATTCAACACTACAGAAATATATTTACTGAACAATCATAAAAATGGTGCTGAATTGAGAAATGTTTGTAGATGGATTATTAATGTGTGGTTTTAATTGTTTGGATGGTTTTACTGCAAACAATGACAACAAAGGGCGTTCACCCCCCCCCCTCTACTGGAGCAGTTAGAAAAACAAACAGCTGCTCAGTGCTGCAGGAGTGCTGTACCTCTGACTGGAAAACATTTCTAAAAGGAAGCAGGCCTGACTACTTCTAATCCTCTGATGTTCATGCAAAATCCTTTGCAGACGTCTTTCCATTCCAACTGTATCAAAGCATGTGTTTCAGCCTGTTCATAGTTAATAAGTTACAGACAAGTTCATTTAACAAGTTAGTAACGTTCACAGTTCACACCCTACTTTTATTGTCGTAGCGGTTTATTCAGCGCTGACAGTCTGACCGCTAGTCTGCTGAGCTGTGACAGAGAGAGTGACTGAGTTCATCTGTTCACACTGATTAGCAGAGAGATCATTTTAACGTCTGTTGGTCTCCATCTTAATACTTTCCTGAAAACATGTTTTAAGTTATGATATACCACCACTGGCACGCCATCGGGCCTGTGGTTGCCGGGCCCCCGCTTTGGCAGGCGTCCCTTATTTTCCCCTAATCCTGATGAAACCAGCAGAAAGACCCTGTAGGCCAGATTATAAACACTATTTACCCTGGTTGATTTCTCTGGTCCAATCTCTGCAAAAGTCAAAACACACATCTCACACTGTGAGACACAATTGACACCATGTTATGACCAAGCAGGAACCTCCGGGTCTCTAAAGTGAAGCGCCTTAAACCTGCGTCCTCTCCAGCAGCCGGCAGTATCCGCTGCTCTGTGAACATTTAACCATATCAGGAGTCGGCTGCTCATTTTTCAGTAAGAACGTTTAGTTTTAAGCCTGTTTGTCGCTAGCTAAAATTAGCATCCCAGCTAACATCACATCTACTCATTTGGCTGAGTAAATATTAATATTAAATAAGAATATAAGCTGGGATGCTAATTTTTATTAACTTTGATTAATACACATCAGTTAACGTGAATAACTGATGCACCTTGCTAACCAAGCTAGTTAGCTCCACCCTCTCGTCCAAATATGGTCACCTCTGGTTCCAAAAAAACCCCAAGATGGCGACGGCCGAACTGCCAAACTGAAGGCTTCGAAACGGCGGACCACATACCAGCGGGTGACGTCACGGCGGCTACGCCCACTTCTGTCATACAGTCTTCAAACACCCTAACAAACAAATATCCAGCGTGAGCACTAATGATCAAACATTCTCAAGAAGCCATCAGGAGACTGGAATGAATGAAAAGGGTAAACTCACAGGTGTTTGGATGCAAACATCAGAGAAGGAGGCGGCGGAGGAACCACAAACGGAAAACAAACATCCTGCAGGAAGGAAAACTGAACTATTAGTGAGCTTGTAAGATTCACATCGTATCAAACTCCCGGAGTGGAACATGTGAAGTTTAGTTTCTCCAACAGATAATACAATGTTTTCTTTCGGGGTTCGGCCAAACTGGGGAGGATCAAGACGTGTGTTTAGGCTTTTCAGAAAACGTAGTACACAGTCAAGAAGTTTGTTAGCAATCCAGAAAACCTGTAAGAAGACCTCAGTGCGGGCTTCACACTCAAACACTAAAGTTTGTATCAGTGTTAACAGTGTTTGTTGTAGCATACGTTTAGCACGCTAATATGCAGAGCGCACAGCATGGAGCGTCTCAGACCTCCTGACACCAAGAACCCAGAGAAATCATTTAGCATTTATCTTTACTGTGAAACACGTTTAGTCCTTTTCAGAAAACCAAATGAACATTTACAGCATCAGTCTGCAACACCATAAACCGGACGTAAACAAAGTCTTACTCAGAAAGTTTATTCAGATGCAAAGAGAGCGACAGATCCAATACAAATATTTCTGCTGTTGAAAAACATGTAAGAGACATCCACCGCTCAAAGAGACCGACTGAATGTGCTGCTTGTCATGGTTGGTTATTTAATGTTGCTGCGTTAGTCCACATAAAGAAATCCTCAACATAAAGAAATCCTCAACATAAACTAACTTAGTCATGAACATAAACATCAACATGAAAAGTCTTTATCGCACCCACAGAATGAAAAACAGTCCTTAAACCACTAAATACACACATTTAAAAAGCAAACAGTAACATCTTTAAACGTGTCTGTTTTTAATGGCAGGTTTAACCTCCTTCAGACTCAACGCTAATAACTCAATGTCCGGCCTCGGAACAAACCTGACTCGACAGGTATGTAAACAATAGCTAGCAGCATTAGCATGTTAACATTAGCTAATGTTTGCATTACGGTTAACAGATGTGGAGTTACAGTACCATTTTTTGCAAGCATGAACCTCTGAGTTTAAAAAAGTGAAGCCAGTGCTGAAGTAAGTTAAACCTGCATTCTCTCCATCAGCCAGCAGGGGGCGGCTGTATAGAAGTCTATGAAAAAATGTTTCTACTTCTCAGCTGATTAATTACCTCGGTAACACTTTCCTAATGAGTTTATGTTCTCAGTCGCTAGTTTCATCATCGTTGGTCATTTTTCCAGGAAGTACGTTTTGTTTTAAGCCTGGTTGTCACTAGCCAAAATTAGCATCCCAGCTAATATCACAATTAACATGAATTGCAGATGCACCTAGCTAACCAAGCTAGCTAGCTCCACCCTCTTGTCCAAATATGGTCATGTCTGGTTCCACGAAAACAAGATGGCGACTGCCAAAATGCCGAACTAGAGGCTTCAAAACGGTGGTTACGTCCATTTCTTTTATACGGGCTCTCACGGGGCCTTTAATGTTTTAGCTGTGTCGGGACTTGAGTGCACATTAGCTGTTACCTGCAGCACATTTACATTCGAGTGCACTGTCCTCTAAAGATAAACAAAAGCAGTTAGCATGTTATTATGCTAGTATGTTTTAGCATGTTATGTTGCATGTGACCATTAAAGCTAGCCAAATTTAGCTAAGACAAGATGCTAATGTTAGCACAGCGAGAATCTGGAAATTGGTTTGAGTATCTTGTTGGTGTCGGTTGCACCAGATACAGTCATGTGATTAGGATTCATCCTCTGAGGACCATGAACGTCCGAACCACATATCATAATATTCCATCCAGTCAATAGTTTAGTTTAGATATTTTGGTCTGAACCAAAGTGGTGGATTGACTGACACGCCGCTGTCTACAGTAACAGAGTCGTCTGTTTTCACAGTGAAGGAGGGAAGTCGGCGGAGGGAACCGAAGGTTACCTTTCTAACATTTTTCTAACTGCTGCCAAACACCAAAGCAAGTTCCTCGTTTGTTTAAACCACATGGAAATAAAGCTGATTCTGACACAGAAATAATCCCAGGTATACCAAGGTAAGGCACTCAATCAGATCCAGACTGTTCAGACCAGGGCCACATCAGTTCAAGGTTTCTCTGCTGAGCGGCCTGGTTCTGCACCTCGGCTACAGACACGAAGCGTGGGCGACGATGAACTCTCCTCTTGGTGTTGTGTTTGGGGTTCCTCTGGTACATGTCTGCAAAGAAGAGCAGAAGCAGTGAACTCATCTGTCTTGACTTGGGACTTAGCTGTGATTACTTAAGACACCCCATGGGACTAACCTAAGACTGATCTTTCTTTACCTTGTTTTTGGGACTTTTGTCTTGAATCAGAACCTGACTCTGGTCTTGTCTTTGAACCTTCCTGTCTTGTGATTGCCAATCTTAATTAGGGATTTGATTTTGGGACTTGCTGATCCTGACTTGGGATGTGACTCTGGACTTACATGTCCTGAGTCTTAGCCAAGACCTCCATGTGACTTGTATAACACTGATTTAGTTCCCTCTTTGAGAGCAGGTGAGAGGAAGTCGTACCTTTGAAGCTGATGAAGTACTGTCTATGGCCTTTCACAACTTCGACCTCAGCTGTTCTGTCAGACAGGTACGATTCCTCCAGAGTCTGCGATGTCACTGATGTGGTGCGCTGCTTTTCATCCTGAGGGAAGTAGAGAGGGGTGAGCATGCTAACATGCTAATATTATAGTTTTATTAGTATAGTTTATTAGTCCGCAGACCTCTGCACCTTGTTCTCAGACCTCTGCACTTAGTCCCCAGACCTCTGCACCTTGTTCCCAGACCTCTGCACCTTGTTCTCAGACCTCTGCACTTAGTCCCCAGACCTCTGCAACTACTCCCCAGACCTCTGCAACTAGTCCCCAGACCTCTGCACCTTGTTCTCAGACCTCTGCACTTAGTCCCCAGACCTCTGCAACTACTCCCCAGACCTCTGCAACTAGTCCCCAGACCTCTGCACCTTGTTCTCAGACCTCTGCACTTAGTCCCCAGACCTCTGCACCTTGTTCTCAGACCTCTGCACTTAGTCCCCAGACCTCTGCACCTTGTTCCCAGACCTCTGCACCTTGTTCTCAGACCTCTGCACTTAGTCCCCAGACCTCTGCACCTTGTTCTCAGACCTCTGCAACTAGTCCCCAGACCTCTGCACTTAGTCCACAGACCTCTGCACTTAGTCCACAGACCTCTGCACTTAGTAGTCAGACCTCTGCACCTTGTTCTCAGACCTCTGCAACTAGTCCCCAGACCTCTGCACTTAGTCCCCAGACCTCTGCACCTTGTTCTCAGACCTCTGCACTTAGTCCCCAGACCTCTGCACCTTGTTCTCAGACCTCTGCACCTTGTTCTCAGTCCTCTGCACCTTGTTCTCAGTCCTCTGCACCTTGTTCTCAGACCTTTGCACTTGGTCCCCAGACCTCTGCACTTAGTCCCCAGATCTCTGCACATAGTCCCCAGAACTCTGCACTAAGTCCCCAGACCTCTGCACCTTGTTCTCAGACCTCTGCACCTTGTTCTCAGTCCTCTGCACCTTGTTCTCAGTCCTCTGCACCTTGTTCTCAGACCTTTGCACTTGGTCCCCAGACCTCTGCACTTAGTCCCCAGATCTCTGCACATAGTCCCCAGAACTCTGCACTAAGTCCCCAGACCTCTGCACCTTGTTCTCAGACCTCTGCAACTAGTCCCCAGACCTCTGCACTTAGTCCCCAGACCTCTGCACTTAGTCTTCAGACCTCTGCAACTAGTCCCCAAACCTCTGCAACTAGTCCCCAGACCTCTGCACTTAATCCTCAGACTTCTGCACCTTGTTCGCCGACCTCTGCACCTTGTTCTCCGACCTCTGCACTTAGTCCCCAGACCTCTGCAACCAGTCCCCAGACCTCTGCACCTTGTTCTCAGACCTCTGCACCTTGTTCTCCGACCTCTGCACTTAGTCCCCAGACCTCTGCACTTAGTCCCCAGACCTCTGCACTTAGTCCCCAGACCTCTGCACTTAGTCCCCAGACCTCTGCACTTAGTCCCCAGACCTCTGCACTTAGTCCCCAGACCTCTGCAACTAGTCCCCAGACCTCTGCACCTTGTTCTCAAACCTCTGCACCTTGTTCTCAGACCTCTGCACCCTGTTCTCAGACCTCTGCACCTAGTCCCCAGACCTCTGCACCTTGTTCTCAGACCTCTGCACCTTGTTCTCAGACCTCTGCACTTAGTCCCCAGACCTCTGCACCTAGTCCCCAGACCTCTGCACTTAGTCCCCAGACCTCTGCACCTTGTTCTCAGACCTCTGGAACTAGTCCCCAGACCTCTGCACCTTGTTCTCAGACCTCTGCACCTTGTTCTCAGACCTCTGCACTTAGTCCTCAGACCTCTGCACCCTGTTCTCAGACCTCTGCACTTAGTCCCCAGACCTCTGCACCTTGTTCTCAGACCTCTGCACTTAGTAGTCAGACCTCTGGACCTTGTTCTCAGACCTCTGCACCTTGATCTCAGACCTCTGCACTTAGTCCCCAGACCTCTGCACCTTGTTCTCAGACCTCTGCAACTAGTCCCCAGACCTCTGCACTTAGTCCACAGACCTCTGCACTTAGTAGTCAGACCTCTGCACCTTGTTCTCAGACCTCTGCAACTAGTCCCCAGACCTCTGCACTTAGTCCCCAGACCTCTGCACCTTGTTCTCAGACCTCTGCACTTAGTCCCCAGACCTCTGCACCTTGTTCTCAGACCTCTGCACCTTGTTCTCAGACCTCTGCACCTTGTTCTCAGACCTCTGCACCTTGTTCTCAGTCCTCTGCACCTTGTTCTCAGACCTCTGCACTTGGTCCCCAGACCTCTGCACTTAGTCCCCAGATCTCTGCACATAGTCCCCAGAACTCTGCACTTAGTCCCCAGACCTCTGCACCTTGTTCTCAGACCTCTGCAACTAGTCCCCAGACCTCTGCACTTAGTCCCCAGACCTCTGCACTTAGTCCCCAGACCTCTGCACTTAGTCCCCAGACCTCTGCAACTAGTCCCCAGACCTCTGCAACTAGTCCCCAGACCTCTGCAACTAGTCCCCAGACCTCTGCACCTTGTTCTCAAACCTCTGCACCTTGTTCTCAGACCTCTGCACCCTGTTCTCAGACCTCTGCACCTAGTCCCCAGACCTCTGCACCTTGTTCTCAGACCTCTGCACCTTGTTCTCAGACCTCTGCACTTAGTCCCCAGACCTCTGCACCTAGTCCCCAGACCTCTGCACTTAGTCCCCAGACCTCTGCACCTTGTTCTCAGACCTCTGGAACTAGTCCCCAGACCTCTGCACCTTGTTCTCAGACCTCTGCACCTTGTTCTCAGACTTCTGCACTAAGTCCCCAGACCTCTGCACCCTGTTCTCAGACCTCTGCACTTAGTCCCCAGACCTCTGCACCTTGTTCTCAGACCTCTGCACTTAGTAGTCAGACCTCTGGACCTTGTTCTCAGACCTCTGCACCTTGATCTCAGACCTCTGCACTTAGTCCCCAGACCTCTGCACTTAGTCCCCAGACCTCTGCACTTAGTCCCCAGACCTCTGCACCTTGTTCTCAGACCTCTGCAACTAGTCCCCAGACCTCTGCACCTTGTTCTCAGACCTCTACACCTTGTTCTCAGACCTCTGCACCCTGTTCTCAGACCTCTGCAACTAGTCCCCAGACCTCGGCACTTAGTCCTCAGACTTAGTCCCCAGACCTCTGCAACTAGTCCCCAGACCTCTGCACTTAGTCCCATGACCTCTGCACCTTGTTCTCAGACCTCTGCAACTAGTCCCCAGACCTCTGCACCTTGTTCTCAGACTTCTGCACTTAGTCCCCAGACCTCTGCACCCTGTTCTCAGACCTCTGCACTTAGTCCCCAGACCTCTGCACCTTGATCTCAGACCTCTGCACTTAGTCCCCAGACCTCTGCACTTAGTCCTCAGACCTCTGCACTTAGTCCTCAGACCTCTGCACTTAGTCCTCAGACCTCTGCACCTTGTTGTCAGACCTCTGCACTTAGTCGTCAGACCTCTGCACTTAGTCCCCAGACCTCTGCACTTAGTCCCCAGACCTCTGCACTTAGTAGTCAGACCTCTGCACTTAGTAGTCAGACCTCTGCACTTAGTAGTCAGACCTCTGCACCTTGTTCTCAGACCTCTGCAACTAGTCCCCAGACCTCTGCACCTTGTTCTCAGACCTCTGCACTTAGTCCCCAGACCTCTGCACCTTGTTCTCAGACCTCTGCACTTAGTCCCCAGACCTCTGCACCTAGTCCCCAGACCTCTGCACTTAGTCCCCAGACCTCTGCAACTAGTCCCCAGACCTCTGCAACTAGTCCCCAGACCTCTGCACCTTGTTCTCAGACCTCTGCAACTAGTCCCCAGACCTCTGCACCTTGTTCTCAGACTTCTGCACTTAGTCCCCAGACCTCTGCAACTAGTCCCCAGACCTCTGGAACTAGTCCCCAGACCTCTGCACCTTGTTCTCAGACCTCTGCACCTTGTTCTCAGACCTCTGCACCTTGTTCTCAGACCTCTGCACCCTGTTCTCAGACCTCTGCACCTAGTCCCCAGACCTCTGCACCTTGTTCTCAGACCTCTGCACCTTGTTCTCAGACCTCTGCACTTAGTCCCCAGACCTCTGCACTTAGTCCCCAGACCTCTGCACTTAGTCCCCAGACCTCTGCACTTAGTCCCCAGACCTCTGCACCTAGTCCCCAGACCTCTGCACTTAGTCCCCAGACCTCTGCAACTAGTCCCCAGACCTCTGCACCTTGTTCTCAGACCTCTGCAACTAGTCCCCAGACCTCTGCACCTTGTTCTCAGACTTCTGCACTTAGTCCCCAGACCTCTGCAACTAGTCCCCAGACCTCTGGAACTAGTCCCCAGACCTCTGCACCTTGTTCTCAGACCTCTGCACCTTGTTCTCAGACCTCTGCACCTTGTTCTCAGACCTCTGCACCTTGTTCTCAGACCTCTGCACCCTGTTCTCAGACCTCTGCACCTAGTCCCCAGACCTCTGCACCTTGTTCTCAGACCTCTGCACCTTGTTCTCAGACCTCTGCACTTAGTCCCCAGACCTCTGCACTTAGTCCCCAGACCTCTGCACTTAGTCCCCAGACCTCTGCACTTAGTCCCCAGACCTCTGCACCTTGTTCTCAGACCTCTGCACCTTGTTCTCAGACCTCTGCACTTAGTCCCCAGACCTCTGCAACTAGTCCCCAGACCTCTGCACCTTGTTCTCAGACCTCTGCACCTTGTTCTCAGACCTCTGCACCTTGTTCTCAGACCTCTGCACCTTGTTCTCAGACCTCTGCACTTGGTCCCCAGACCTCTGCAACTAGTCCCCAGACCTCTGCACTTAGTCCTCAGACCTCTGCACTTAGTCCCCAGACCTCTGCACTTAGTCCTCAGACCTCTGCACTTAGTCCTCAGACCTCGGCACTTAGTCCTCAGACCTCTGCAACTAGTCCCCAGACCTCTGCACCTTGTTCTCAGACCTCTGCACCTTGTTCTCAGACCTCTGCACCTTGTTCTCAGACCTCTGCACCTTGTTCTCAGACCTCTGCACTTGGTCCCCAGACCTCTGCAACTAGTCCCCAGACCTCTGCACTTAGTCCTCAGACCTCTGCACTTAGTCCTCAGACCTCGGCACTTAGTCC